ACGCAAAACCGACCAAAGGTTAGAGGAATGGCGGCCTCGGACGCTTATACCTATGTCTACTCCACTGTGCTCCGAAGTTCGCTGCTCGACTCAACTGAAACTCTCTGCTCGCGCCCCGTCCCGACTCGACCCGATCCGTCTCGCGGTTCGATCGAGCCGGGCGGCGATGCAATAGACGCTTTCGCGTCTATATCGGACCGACCCCGCCGCCGCCGCCATGCCACGCCACGCCACGCTGCCGCCGTAGTCGCTTTTACCTATATCGGTTTCGCGCACTCCGCCCGCGCCAACCACGCGAATCGGCCCCCGGGTTTCAATCATCGCTCGAGACTTCGCGATGCACTTTCAAGGGCTCCGCTATATGCGAGCCTGCGCGCGTAAACATCAACCTCTTGAACGGCTCGACTTGCGCCCGCACAACGTCGCCTTTATCGCCGGCGACCGAACGGAACAATAGCAGTCGCGTTTCGACCGTTGCATTCTTCGGGTATCGAGCGTTTATCGGACACATCTTGGTACCGCAGCTGTCGCGAACAGATTCATTAGCGGCGGGGGCGGTAGTTTTTAAGGAGAAAAAGGTTTGAGGATAGACGGCGGCGGAGGAAGACGAGGTCTCTCGCGAGGAGAATCTCGCGGGTGGTCCGCGAGATCCATCTCGCGCTGTTGGAAGAGTATTATCGTGTTCCTCGTTCTTTTATCCCGATGCAACGGTATACTAATAGAGAACCGTTTCGTCTCGTTAACGTAGTCGGGGACCGGACGCGAAATCTGTTCTCACGACGCGAATGGTAAGCTACGGTGACTCGCGGAATTGATCGCATAGCAGCATCGTTTCTAGTTTTCTTGAAATACAGTCACAAAGTCGGGTTGTTTGTTAACCGTCCCTTTGACGCTGAATTACGAAGTTGATTCGGTCCTTCGGATCTATTTAATATCCGAAGTATTAATGCTTAGTGTACATCTCGAATGACTCTATAACTAATAAAGAGTACAACGAACGAAACTATTCGATCAATTCCGCGAGTCACCGTGCATCTCGAGCGGATCCAATTACGCGAACGTCGCGAACCGGATAACCGGATTCGGCGGAGAATTCCCCGGGTACTTACGCTCGCGGCAAACAGTTCTGGAGACGGTAGTTTTCGTCAGGCTCGCGTGCTGGACTGGCATTTGGGCTAGCTGCAACAGAAACGCGATATTCCGTGGTCAGGTTTTTACAGGAGAATTTCGCCTCGCGGTGGGATTGGGATTGAAAAGCGCGCGGCGACGCGTCGACCGGGATTCGCGACTCGAGGACCGAGGAACGAAAACGGGTCTGGGTTAGCCGCGCGCCGGCTCATTCTCCTCGGAGGGTAAGCACGAAGCCGGCGATTCTAAAAAAGGCCATTAGTCGGGAGGAGCGGCGAGATGCACCCTTCGCGCGCTCGGCACGCAGCGTTCAACCCTGGCCGCGCGCAGCCACTCTCTTTCAATGGGCAATGGTGTCGGCGAGCAGGCGTGGCGCGAGACGAAGCGGCGCCGAGCGGAGGGAAGCGATCTCGCCGCCTGAATAGGCACCTGTTTTCGCAGACAGGTGACACGAACACGTACGAACGAGCGCGCGTCGCGGCCCGGCCCGGCCTATGCTCTATGGAAACGCGTGAGAACCTCGGGATAGACCGAGGAGGGCAATGACTCCTAGAACAGCGCGGGTGCGCCGACAGACGAATGTCGACATCGAGAATAAAACCTTGCCCCAGGCCGGCGCGTCACGAAAAAAGAGGAAAAGAAAAGAGCGCGCGCGCCTTCGACCGTCGTCTGCCCAACAAGCTCTCCTCTCTCGAGATTCCCGTGGATACGGAACCTACTCGACGGGCGAGCGGCCGAACCCTCCCTCGCCGGAAGAGTCGCAGAGCGTTGTCTCGCCCCAAGCCTTCGCCCGCCATCGCGTCTCGCCACCGTTTCGCTCGAGTGAGTCTTTTTCGGCGCTGCCTCGAGCGGCCCGCCCTCGCCGTTCGTTACGCGTAAACGGAGACGCGTGCCGATCCGCGGGACGCCGATCGGCCTAGGCATTCGCCTCGTCGGCGGGCGAGCGTTGACGAACTCCTCGGATTCGCTAGCGGCGAACGCACTGGCAGCGCAAACAATGACGAAGGCGACGGCCGGGCAACGGACTCGCGCGACGCGATTACGGCATCGCTGACTACATCTGTCCGCTCTACGCTGATACATTTGCATCGGCCGCTATTCACGGACTCCGCGACGTTCGCTCTCGCCCCCCAGCTATCACGGAATCGTTCTTTATAGCCTGCTGCTATTCGTTTGCTGAAACGACCGGCGGATTCTATTCGCGGCCGCGATCCTGGATCCGGTTGTTTCATCTTCGACCGACGGTACACCTAAATCCTTTACGCGTCGCAACTCTTTATGGACCGTGTTACGTTCGCTATCGGACGAAGGGTTATCTATTGTAATGCTTCCAGTGTTGCCATGCGGGCATGGCCCGGAGGTGGGAAAAACCGGGAGACATTTTATCCTCGATTTCCATGCGAATCGAACGGGAACAAAGGCTTGTCACAGGTTGTCTTATCGCTGTTTCTGCGTTCATTTTTACGTGAGAACAGTTCGGCCTGTTATTTAACCGCTCCATTAGAGTGCCGGTGTTCGTCTGGTCGCCGAGTTACGCAATCCTTCAAATATTTTCCCGGTTGGCTGGTATTGTTTCGTAGACCCCTCTTCGTTCGCCGGTACGAGCTTGCTAAACCGCTGAAAATTTTCACGCGAAATTGCCCCCGGCGGTCGGGCCTGCTATCGATTATGAATTGCATTACCATAATATTTGCCTGGCGCGCGTGATCAACACGCGACGGTTACGTAACTGCGAGACGGCGATGGAACTGCGACGCAAATTGGGGTCCACCGTACCCGCCGGCAGACTTATTAGACTCTTTAACCCTCGGGCAGCGGACATTACCGCCGAGTACGCAGCCGATGTTCTTCAGGACTCGGTGGGCTTTCGGTTTTCTATTTCTGGATCAATTTCGTGGCAAGTCAGACACAGTGGCAGCTCGATCATTCGATTTAATTAGCCGCGTAACAGTCGCAAACGGAGACTGGGGAAGATATTCTTCGAAGCGCGTTCGCAGGCTTCGCGTCTATCGGACGTCGGACGATTTACGAAAGGTGTAGCTGGAAACTCGTCCGTTTCAGCGCGGAATTCAGTGAAGTTGTTTGCGTAATCCCATCTGATTACACGTTTTCAAATGCTATAAACGCATAATATCCGCAGTCTAATCATAACGGTAGAGGTTGAATGGGCAATATCGAAGAATCGTCGGCGACCCTCCCCTCAATTAGAGCGTTCATCGATGCGAAAAATTCGAAACAATCGCCCCGGATCGGTGGAGCAAACCGGTAGGAATCAATCCTTGGAACAGACGTACCGAATACTCGGATAATTTTGGCGTAGAAACACGACGACCCCGTAAACTAAACGTCGGTGCCAGTCTTTTAACCCCTGCGTACGACGAGTGAACTCGTTGCGATGGATATCTCGCGATACACTCGTTTGATAAGTTAGGTCAGTTAAAGCAAAGCGTCGAGCAGCGAAGAAGGTTAATCGCGTCGTAATGGCGCACGCGCTCATCGAAATCGTTCGACACGCGCGCACCGTTCATCGGCTTAATTGTTCGCCGAACGGCGATCAAGCGGCTCGAAGATGTCCACTTCCGGCCATGGGCATGTAACGTTACATCGAACGAGATTTCCGGCACCGTGACTTCCTGTCGCCGGCAGTGCCGCCATTTCGACGGTGCTGCGAGCGATGATCGATGTACCGGAAAGAGAAAAATTGCCGATTCCCGTGTACAATCGCGCCGTTTACGTTCGCAGTCCCACGGAATTACATCGCGAACGGCGTCCCATCATGTCTACAATCGATTCCTCGTCGAGATAACTCCATCCGCGGATTAAGAAGAATATTTTCCCGTGGCACTTCAATATTCGGGAACGCGATGCTTTTACACCGGAAGTTTTCCGAACTTTTACTTTACCGTTCCCCGGCCTCTTTCCAATTCCCTTTTAGACAGATCCCGTCGATGGTTCGGTAAGTGGGAGGCAGAAGTACGTACGGAAATATTCTATCCGCGTTCCTCTAACCCTTTGCACTCGAGAGCTTTTTCGCTAGAAATATTCAACGTTTTCCGATGAGATACGGAATCCCATTGATGCGTTGCGCAAGGCGCGGTATTGACCCTTAACGAGTCAACGCCGCCATATAAACTGCATGGCAGTTTTACTAACTAGGTTCAAAAGTCATCTGATTATTTTGATCACTGTAACTTGCTTCCGCTTGTTATCTATGTTACGGTATTTTTCCGCGGTGAGTAAACTCGAAGTACTTCCGGCCCGTTAAGGGTTGATACGCGAAACTGTCTAATTTCAGTGAATCGAGTCGAGCGACGACCGAGAGCCGCACGAGCGAGTACAAAGGGCTGAAAAGCGCTGCAGAGAACGGGTGGTCCTGCGACGTCGTTTCACGACGTCGGACGCGAGGTTCCCCGCAACGCGGACACGGAATAAATGATTCTCACGACTTGTGGGAACGCGGCGCATCCGACGTGATTCACTCGCCGTAAATTCGAAACCGCGCCTCTAAGGGCCTTCCGCTCCTTCTTAAGTCGGCGATAAATTTTCAAGTCCCGTCTGATTTTCTTTTGTTCCTCCGCGAAATTACGCCCCCTTTCCGCGGCCCCCTTCCACCCGCGTCTCTCCCGCGGCCCGGCATTGTTGTCTCGGACCATTTATCGTCGATACCCCGGCGATTATTGTTAACGCGAGCCAATCGCGCGAATCGGCCGCGTTCGAACGCTCGTCCGGGATAATAACAATGATTACCAGCCGGAAAGGAAGGGAAACGAAGAGGATAATACGCGCGAAACGTCTGATTTCTCTGTACGAGCGGAAAAATCTGTTGACAACGGTGCGGGGAACGGTTGCGCCAATAGTATCGCGAAGCGGAGATGACAATGGAGAGAGTGGGGTAGACGAGGTTGCAAGATATCGTGAACCGTCACGACAGTTTCGCTGTCGTGACTCCTAGAAGGGAGAAAAGTAACGGAACTCGAACGGTGACATCCGTCCACGCGTGTTGGTTTTAATGGTACCGCGGACTGACAGAAAAGTCAATTACTCCAGCCGCTAATAAGCCCGGGCACCGAGGCCGACCGAGGTGCAGGAAGCGTGTCCTTCGGCCGAGGAGCAACGCGTAATAATCGGTTACAGTTTCCGTCCGTCATTCTCTCCTTTCTGCCCGTTTCTGTTCCTCTCGCCTCCTCCTGCTCCTCCTCCTCTCCTCCGACCGGTTGCTCGCGGCCACGGGTTCTCTCTCCGCCGCCGCCTCCTCTCGTTTTTTCCACCTTCTTCGAGTTTTTTTCTCCTATGGCCTGGACGTGTCTCTGTCACGGGCATTAACGTAACTGTAGTACCGGCCGAACCGTAACACGAGCGCGTTCCTCCCCGCGTACACGCGTAAGAATCCTCGGGATGCACGCAAAGTCGACAGGATTACGGCGGTGCGTACGTAGATAACGCTCCCGCGGCGAGCGTGTGTGCTGCGCGCCGGACGGCCGGCTCATTCTGCTCTCGCTGCCCGGAGAAACGAGTCCCCGGACGGATAATTAGATATCCAATGTCGTTCGCCGTGGTTAACTCCGCCGATTTTTTCTTCTCGCCCTAAAGCGCCCCAGAGGTCCGGTCGGGCTCGCCTTTCCAACCGACTGACTCGCACGGCGATGCATGTCGGCGAATGGAAATCGTTGCGATTAGGATCCGTTTCCAAGGGCCATCTGTCGCCGAAGGAACCCTCTCTATTCGGCCGACAGGCGTCCTGCAATGCGTATTTGTCGGCGTAATTCGTTGCCCATGAGGATTCTCTCAATGTGTTACGTAATATTATTCCTCGCGAAGGATCATTGGTCATCGTTGACGCGCAATCGGGAAGTTACGGGGATCGGCGACCGTCGTAGAAATGGAGAAGCGGAGGAGAAACGAGCAAGACGTACGGTAAAACCGGGGAGATTCGTGGTGGAGGAGTTTGTTCGCTGGAAGGATCGCCCGATTCGATCCCGGAAGCAGTCGCAAACGAGCGTATCAACGCTCCTTTGTCGTGAAACGTATATAGAGTCGCTACCCCAGGTTGC